CTTTGTGATGCAACACGTTTTTGCTGGGCAGTGTGGGTTGACTCCTTCCAAGGCTTGTTGACTTCTCTCTTCGTTGCACTGGATTTGTTGATGCAACCAAAGTATCTGACCCTTTCAACCCAGTGCTTCCCTCGGGTGCGAGGTCTCGAGGCTTTCACAGGAATCCCCTGCTCCATGACGATCCCCGGGCCGAAGTGTCCAGCCCTTTGAAGGTTTGCCACGAGGCTCGGTCAGTATTCACTGTCATCTACTGCCAATTGAAATGACATTGGGTGCACTCACCTAAGTTCAACTGAATATTCGAGGTTACTCACCAAACCCCGATGTCATGGGGGGCACAGTGGACGTTGGCTATGGCTCACAAACATTCCACTGGTTGTTCAAGACATTTCAAAAGCTCCCAGATTTGTCAAGCTCCCGCTGAGGAGATCTTGCAAAGACAAAAACGAAAAGATGAATCAGCTAAAAAAAAAAAAAAACGTTCTGTGAAAAATGAAGTAGAAAAGAAGCTGGGACGGATGAATCAACATGGCTTGCAAAACAACACTTCCGGTGATATATGAAAGTGGGATTTTGCCATCCCTACTTCATCTTCCAGGGGATTCGGGAACTCCTTTTACCGCTCACAGAAAGGGACCCTAAAACCCGACTATACTGCAGATTAACATACTCCTTTCCGGGGGGGCAGGGGGGGTACCCCCTTTCAGGTTCTTTCCTTTAACTTGGAGGGGGACTCTATTTCCAGGTAGCCTCCCCCTGTGATGTAACCTTTGTCACTTCAATCGGGGGGGCCTATTTCGCGAATTAAGAATCCCGATCTCTCACAAGCAGATTGAGTTGCTTCAACAGGCACCATCCCCGCTTTGTCACTCAAAGGAGATTTTCCTTGACCCATTTCGAAGCCATTTCCCACGTGAGTTCGCCTTCAGCAAGTACTGGTTGAAGAGGGTCTTGAGGATGAAGCCGCAGAAAACCAGCACGACGGTGCCTTGGGGCGACTTAACCCGGAGCCGACATAACCCGGCAGACATGGCGACAACGCGGCTTTGGTTGAATTGACAAAAAGGGCAAGAAATCCCAAAAGGAAACCCACAAAGTTGACCAAATGGCAAGAGGTATGTGTTGTTTGCTAGCTAAAAGTTAAGTCGCTGCAAAAGTAGGAAACAGAACATGAAGGGAAGTGAAAGAGAAAGGAAAAATGAAGTAAAAGAAGGTTATGTCTGCAAGGTGCGGTGAGTCCACTCCCCCCACAAGCCGTCACCGAGGATGCCGTCCTTCACCACCATGTACACCAGAGAGGTGGCAGCCCAAGAGACCTGGAGCCAAGCCGGAAGAGCCCAAACTCAACTTGCTTCCCCCTCGAAGCCAGGTAGAACCACCCACTTGGGTGTGGATCAAAAATAGGTACCCACAATGAAAAAATAGGGGACCCCAAGCGTTTCCATTGCCAAGCTGAAAAGGATACAAACTCCAAACAAAAACCCTTCCAATTGCCATTGGCCAATGTAGCACGTTGTTTGAATATGTCGGAACACGTGTCCCCGCCTCGACGGACGTGGCAAAGAGTCTGAAGTGGGTATGAGTCAAAATTAAGCCACCAGGCGACCTCAGGTTTTGGTCCATGTTTCCACTTACCAGGGTTCCAATAACGTTCTCAATCACATCCTCTGCGCCAAACAAACTCTCGAGCACGTGGCAGTTTGGTCAACCCTAACTTGCTTTCTGGGCCTAGAAGCCCAAAGGTAAAATGGCCACAATCCCGACAATCCCGAGATGCCACACAAATCCCAAGACTTCAGCCGCAAACTCAGGGGAAATGAAACCGACGGCACAAACGAAGGTCCCAAATGGCCATAGTGAAAAAAGTAGGGGGCCAAGAAAAGTTGGCCAACGCCTGAAGCTCGCATATGGGACAGGAGAACTTTTGGGCACATGTTGGGACCCAGGTTGGCACGCCCAGAAAGAATCACAGGGCACCTTGAAAGCTTGGAACGGGGGCCCCTTGGTGTCACATGATCAGTTGGGTTACAACCCTTGAAAGGAAATCCCGTCCACTCCAACCCCGCTTGGGATAAGAACGCCGAAGGCCCTGCACGCCTTTTGTGGCGCCATTTTCGCCACAAGGACCACCGAAGCCATTTCGAGGTCCCAAGCCGTTGGAGAATTGGCTACGGGTCAAAACCCAAAGATCCCAATCCCCACTAAAATACTGTAGGTTCTAAAATGGGTGGTTACCCCAAAATGGGATGCCATTGGTGTTGACCCACGGCCACATCTGATCAGCGCCTGCCTTGAGGCAGGAGAACTGCACTGGGAAGGGGTTGGTGTCCTTCTGCATGGCGTTGGAATTCAGCACCGCCACGTAGCAGCTGATGCCGACCTCTCCAGCATCACTGAAACAACACGGTCCAATCCTCTTTGGTCAGACATCCTCGAAACGTCTCCGATGTGGTTGAAAAAACATGGTTGAAAAAGCCAAAAAGCGACTGTGGTTAAAAGGTGGTTTGCCCTCAAAACACCGACTCCACATTGCCCGAGGGAACCCCCCAAAAGAAACTGGGACTTCCTGAAAGCCACTGAGAAGCTGCCGGGGCCGAAGATAACTTCGTCCATGGCTCTGGGCCGAAAAGGAAACAACAGGTTCGGCGGGAGATCTAAAGCAGGGCCAACCGCCAACCTTTTCAGCCGCTTCAAGCGTCGTTTTCTATGAACCCCGGGCAGATCAAGCAAGCAAAGACAGGCTTGCCAAGAACGCACGCGCACATACACAAACCATATCCTTGGCCACCGCCTTCTCCGCTGCCTCTGAGAGCTGGATTTCCATCACTCCTCTTTTCACAAAAAGCAAAACGCTGCCCCCGTCCACCCATCAGGGGCCCGTTTCCTCTTGGCTGCCACCCTCTAGCCTCACTCTGTGAGGACCGCACGCAACTCCCAGTGAACCAAATCTCTTGCAATGCTTGCGTTCGGTACCTGCTTTCAGTCGAGCTGGCGGCCAAAAGGGCCAATCCTGTCCTTTCAAAGCCGCGGCCCCCCGAAAGGCCCCGACTCCTTTTGGTCGCAGGATGTGAACCCCGGATCCGGATTCGGATTGCTCCCCCGATCAAAAGGAGCCAGTCCTCGCTCAACATTCTGGTCCAGCCATCTGACGGTGCAATTGGGTTCATCAATTCGCGGGATCATAATACCGACTCAAGCAGAAATTGGTGTGAACCTTGGCTTCATTCCAGCGTCGCTCGGTTTTCCCTGGTGGATGGAACAATCCCGCCTCCCACCCCACCCATCCCGAGAGCGGCCTTCACTAGGGCGAGGCCCACGCCGAAGGCACTGAAGGTCATAGCTCCCCCCTTGGCCTTGCCCACCAACACGTACTCCAACCTGCGAATCTCGGCTCTTTTCTGCCCGTATCTGGGCCTCCCAAAAAGGGAAACAATCCCGGACTATGACAACCCAAAGCAGCGATGAGAATGCGCGCATTTACTCACAAGTCGCTATACGACAGACATCAAACGCCATGGTCACGTCTTGTGCAGGCGCTTGGCATCGTCTTACGGAATGTCAGGAGCACAATTGGAAGCCTTGTTCAATGTGTGGCCCTGTTGTTGAGGGTGCCCTTTTCGAGATTGCGTTATGGAGAAACCAAAGAATTTCATCATTTGAGTGGTCCCTGTTTTGAGACGCGCCCATATGGGACACCTGACATTCACACTCAACGCATAACATATGCAAAGGCATTTTCCCAACAAGCTCAAAACATTGGGACGCCGCCAGACTGGTGGGAGGAGAGAGAACATGTACCATCACCCATGTCCTTGCTCGCCAATGTTGAACCCATTTGGGCCCCCCAAAAGGGTGGTTTCCTGACTGTTTTCCAGACAAATCGAGACAAAGTGGAGGGCTCCCCCAGACCAGGCCCTATTTTGGGTTGGCTGATTTGACAGAGAAACCCCCTCCCCAGAGAAATCCCCCAAGAACGGCCCTCGGAGGTCTGGGACAAATTCCCTGAGCCGAGTAGCATCCCTGAACTGGTGGTGAAGAGGATGAACCACTGCATCATGTTCTGAGCCTTGCCGCTGATCACCCACATCCTCGGAACTTGCGCTTCGGGCGGGTTCCTTTCTTGGCTGGTTTCCACCACCAAAACCACCCTGACCCAAGGGGCATGTGAACCCGTTTTGCCTTGGGGGGCCACCGGTTTGGGGCAGAGACCAAGACCCCCCGCACCTGAGGAAAGTGCTCTGACTGCGTTGTCAGCTTCCCCATTGGCAGCGTCCATGATGCTCAAGGCGTTTCCAGCACATCCATAGACTAACTTACACTTGCTCACTCGGGAAAAAAAAAAACTCACCTGGCCCCAGTCAGTTTACCAGTCGCAACCTGTCGAGCGTCAGGGTGGCCGTGATGATCAGTTTGCTTTGGGACAGCACCGTGTAAGTGGAGGAGTCGATGTAGTTCACAGACTCCATCTCGAAAATGTCGCCCAGTGCGTAGATCATGCCGATGTGCGCGAACTTCGAGAGGTTGTCTACCTCCAAAAAGCTGAAAACCACTGGGTCGGGAGGGAATGAGCGATGGTGCTCTGCATATGAGCCAGTGTCAAATATGCGATTCCAAGAATGGGCATGCATTGTTTTTGCGAATCTGGTGAGTCTCCCAGTGTCCCTTCCAAATTGACCATGGACTGCGGAGGTTGACCGCACCTCGCATGACCAAAGAAAGAAATCATGGGATTCTCCGCCATCCCACCCTGCACGCCTGGAAGCACTTCTTCAAGTCGGCAGCCCCGCCGGAGGAGTGAGCCAGCATCCAGCCGATGGCCACGCAAATCTCAGGGGACAAGGCACCCCAAAATACACATCCCAAAATCACTTGCGCAAGGGCACCCTTCGCTCACAGACTTGCATTTTAGTGCTGGCAACTCAGGTGAAAGCCCGTCCCAAAGCCGAGGTCCGCGCAATTTGGGCCACGAAGATGACGCTGGAGACGGTGTACTGGGCGTGCTCGTGCTCTCCCTTGGCCCACCTGACAGCAGCCGGGACTTCTTCCTCGCACAACCCTGGGCATTTGAGGTCTGCTTCCCCCCCCCCCCGTGGCCAAAAAAGCAAAGAAGACTTAAGGATGGGGACGGCCCATCCTAGTGAGACATCCTCCAATTTATCTCCTAATGGTGCCTTGAAAGGAAATCACACCCCTAAAGTATGTTTTGGAGAATCCCTGAAAACGTAACCACTTCAGTGCCCAGCCAATCCGTTTAGACATGAAGGCAAATGGCCAGTCCTTCATATCCTCGATCCACTAGGGCCATCCCAACCCAAACCTACTCGGCCTTTTGCCATATCTTATCTGTTTGTTGGAGACACCGCTTGGCGCATCGGCCCCTTGCCGGAGCTTAACTCCTTGAAGCCCCTCTCAACTCCTGAAAGCCTAGAGTCTTCGGAACCGCAAGCCTTCCCAAATGCCCCGTAAAACAAAAGTGGGTGCGTCTCATGAAGGAACTGAACTGGGGTGGGTTTAGGTCTGGCTATACCCGGCCGGCAAAGGGTCCCTTCTACCCCGGAATGCAACCTCGCAAGGGGCGCCAGCCAAATCTTGGTTCTTGGGGCAAACCCATTCCTTGTGTCTTTGGGGGGTATCTTCCATGTTGGGCTTTAACAGGCCTCCATGGCCATTCAAGTGACAATCCTCAAGACTGCCCTCATGGTGGTTTAGAGACAACCCACCCTGAAAGTAACCTGAGTCACAATCAAAACTCGGTACACAAGTGGTTAACCCAGGACCATGCAAAGACTTAAGAAGGCGGCCGCAACCATTTCTGGTTGAGATTGTCCCTTACTAACCGCCGCTTGCCCGGGTTTTGATTGTGACTCACCTTGGGAACCCCTCAAACTGCCTTGCCACGTCGGGCCCTCCGTAGCTTGGCCCCGGGCTCGATGAAGGAGTTGTGGCACGCCCGCTGCAGCGTGACCGCAGTGAAGGCGATGGCCTTTGTCTTGGCGTCAGCCATGGCCTGACGCACAAAGGATTTGAGGAGAAGCCACGGCCGTGGGAACAACCCCCAAAACCAACTTCCGAACAGGTCTCCATAGCTTTCAGCTGTTCGGACAAAACGGAGCCCCCGTCGCATGCGAGAAAGCAGGGCATGGGGCACAGGGTGCTTCCTTTCAGCACCAAATTCAGCCCTTCAACTGCTGTTTTGTTCATCCCGTCCCCGCAGCCTCTCGGGATCTCCACGATACGTGGATTCTGGCCAGACGGCCGAGATTGCACAAACGTCTGGAGCCAAAATGGCCAACAAAGCGCTGATTCACAGACAGAACATCCACTTGCTCGATGTCCCACAAGCAAGAGCAACAGGGTTCCCTTGGAAGGAACGGCTCCAGTGGTTGCCTAAATTTCATATTTAGGGGTTGATGACCATCCTTGCCATTCTCGCTAACACGGAACCAATGAGGGGTCCCTTTTAAAAGAAAATGATCTTCCAGGACTCCCCTGTCAGGTTCCATGGCAACATGCATGGGAGCGCATCACCAAACGCCATGCGAGCCAATACGCCAGCGTCCTCTATCCAGGCATGCCCGGCTCGGATGGCGTCCCTGCCGGGTCAATGAATCTCAACCCCAAAAGGTAGTGGGCCCAGGATCCATGAACGTCTGGTTGAGTAGGGGCATATTTGATGGGACCCGCTAAGTTTGGGAACACTCTCTCGTAACAGTCTACCAGGTTGACTACTCTGGGTCGCCAATGCAAACACATGTTCCTGCAGAGATAAACACCGCAACGTTCATCGACTCATGGGGCGTTTTGGCAAGGGGTCTGCCCACTTCCACGACGAAACCTCACAACACATGAGGTAGAAGAGTTGGCTACGCATACCCTTGTTTGCCTTAAACGTTGCAAGTTGGGCAATCACAATTGTCCCTTCTTAGGGATCAAGAGGTGTTCGCTTTAGCAGCACGCATTCGCGCGAAAAGGCGGGAAAAAACCTGCAGTGCTTCTGGCCGGATGCCTTGCCGATGAACAACCAATCCAAAAATAGGCCTTTTGCCCAAAGCCAATCAACTCTAAGGATAGTCATCCGTACTCTCCGTGCGAAGAGGGACAAGAGGCAGAGGTTGTCATTCATGCACCTCTGAGTATGATGTTTCAAGTGGAAATTAACCCTTTGGGCATCATATACATGGGGATGCGTCAAACTGTCGACGCCCGCCATTGACAACTATGTTGGTGTTCCTTTAAGAAGGCACACAGCAAAAACAGGAAAGCGCAGGTAGCTTTCCTACAAGTCGGCCCAAACCACACCACTTTCTCAAGAAAGCTGGTTCACATCACGGTGTACAAAAAGTGGTCCCTGACTCGTCTGTTGCCAACTCAGATTTGTGATAAGCGGGATGCCGCACTGTGCTCAACAAACATATGACCCTGGGGAGCCCGCGAAGGCGCCAATAAAGGCGGGTTAGGGTGACTCTTCCCACGCATATTTGGTACCAATGGAGTGCCTGAAGAGGGTAGAGTTGGCACGCGAGAAGGGCAACACGGTTTTGATGTAACACTGGGGCTTTCTTGGAATCAGTGGCAACTTGTGGCACCGTGTTGGGACCAATAGGAATAGAACAAACAAAACATGTTGCAACGGCGTGGGGGGAATCAACAGCGGGGGGGGGGGGGGTGGGGACGGAAGCGTTCGCTCTGCCGCCTGCACTGAGGGCTGCCACCGACTGCGTTGTCGGAAACAGTGTAGGCGAAGGCCATGTGATCCATATACTCTGGCCTGAAGTCTGGGTTGTTAAAAATGCCCTAATCCCAATCCAAAATCCGCAGTGGAACACCACTAAACCAAGGAAAACATCTACCGGCTGTAAGGGATACATGACCCTTTCCTCCACCTTGTTGCGTGCTATTCATTCGCTACCTGCAAAGTGGCAGCGGCACCAACGCACAAAATGGCCAAGCGCAACAGCGAAACATGCTGCTGTTCTCGAGGAATCGCATACTCCGAACAAAGTTTGGAGAAGGGTTCGGAAAAGCCGGCTGCCCCGAGAGGAACTTCCACAGCAGTCAGAGTTAGCGAGACAGATTGCCACTTGGTGGGAGTTCCGCCTTTCCAAGAATATAAACCATCACCGGAGCTGGAGCATTCCTCCAGTTCCTTCGAAAGGACAGGAAAAATAAGGTATCAGTATTGCTGGTCGATGAGGCCTGGGTTCGTCCCAATGTATACAGGGCAAGAGGTCCGATCAAGACATATCACTCTCCTCATCAATGCTGCGCCAAAATCAAGCGGCAAAACCTCGCAGCCGCAGTATGACTCGACCTGATTCCACCCAATGGTGGGGTTCCTGTTGACTTCCCTCCAAAAAGTTACTTAACAAAGGATAACTCAAAAAGACCTACACAAGACCCCCTTCAGAACAACTCCCACGAAAACACCTCCAAACCCAACCCACCCCTTCCCCACTTGGGTCAAATCCCGGCACCCAAGCCCAAAACCGCCCCAAACCCAGCCCACAACACCCCCCCACAACGCCGGCTTGTGCGAGTCTAAGATTCCGGGCATGTCGAAGGTGGCGGACACCGGCGCCGAACTCGCCACCGATGCGTGGATCAGCTCTGGATGCTTCAGCCGCGACCTCGGATCCGAGAGGTGGCTCCGCCACAAGGAACCCGGGGCGGCCCCGAGCCGTGCCAAAATGGGGCGGAAAGAGCACCACGCACTTTTGGCTTCGAATTCACCGCAAGGAGTCGGAATGATCCATTCTTTTCTGTCCCACAGAGGCAACACAAAAGACTTTAACTGCAGAGTCAAGGGACATCATGTTTGCTTGGAATTGGGAACATGGACCACGTTTAGCATTGATCTAAAGGGGAACACCATTCGCCCATGTTCCCTGTAGGGGAATCTCCCGTTGGGATGTGTGAAGGGAACCCCAACCATGTTTGGCGCGAAAGTAGGGGAACTCACCAATGCTGCAACACGCAAGGGAAGCACCGACCCATCAGCCAAGTGGTCCTAGATATAAGCAGGCAATCCAAAAATCCGATGTCCTTCTATTTCCCCTGTTAGTGATCTAAAAGTCACCTGTGGAGATGTTCTCTTCTGAGTGGGGAGATGTTCATCGGGACAAACGGGCATACCCTTCACAAAGTAGAGAGCACCCTGGTTTGCCTAAGAAAATGTCCCTCCCAAATGCACCGTAGTCAATTCAACTCTTGTTTAGCCCGACCTCAGACACGGATGCTAGGCTTGCCAGCGCTTGCCCCCCCCAACCCCCAACTTCTCTCGCTGGGCCCACCAGCCACCCGGCCAGCATGCCAGGGTAGCTGCCACCCCAGGTCACCCAGCGGTTCCTCCGAACTCCCCATGTTGCCACAAGAGCACCAACTAAAATGAGTTGCATCCCCTTGTTTTTTGCCTGCCTGCCTGCGTTTTCCTGTGAAACCACTAAAAAAGCAGGCTCTCTGAGACTTTCCGTTGCAAAGCTCAAAGACTTTGACAAACTCATGGCAAAAGGGGGGGTCCGTCCAAGATGTTCCCTTCAAACAAAGAAAACACACAAGCCCAAGCAAACAAACAAACAAACAAACAAACCAACAAACAAGCAAGCAAACAAACAAACAACAAGCAAACAAGCAAGCAAGCAAACAAACAAACAACAAGCAAACAAGCAAGCAAGCAAACAAGCAGGCAAGAAGGCAAGCAAACAAACGAACACGAGAAAACAAGCAAAAAAGTATACATGCAAACAAGCATGCAGGCAAGCAAGCAATCTAGCAAGCAAGAAAGCACCCAAGCAAGCCAGCAAACAAGCAAGCAAGCAAGCAAGCAGGCAAGCAGGCAAGCAGGCAAGCAGGCAACCAGGCAAGCAAAAGGACAAACACACAAGAAAACAAGCAAAGAAGTAAACGAGAAAACAGACAAACAATTCGACAAGCAAACGACCTGCGAAAACGACCACCTTGCCCCAGCCTGGTTTTGGAACCGTAAACCAAAGGGTTTAAAGGGAGTCAAAAAAACAGGTTGGGGTTGGTGGGATCCCCAAATGTCGTGCTTTCTTGCGCACGCAAGATGTTCTTGATATAGCTGGTTGGTCCGAATCTGAACCAACAGCTTGGGGCGCCTCCCTTTGCAGCCCCCAACTTGTGTCCAGAGTTGCAATGACCAAACCCATCACTAAGAACTCCTGGAAAAGAAACGGTTTCTTGAAGGAAAAACATTTGGACGTGGCTCAAAGCTTTCGACTTGCCGGTCACTGCTCATGGCGCTGTGCCAGGAGGGTCCGGGATGGCTTTGGGTGCGGGAACTCCGCTTCCATCTTAGAGAGCGGCAAATGGGCTCGTTTTGGTTTAGGCACCCTTTCTGGGGTTAGAAAGAGCGATAGGAAAACCTGGCTGCGACAAACCCACATCATCTCAATTTGTGGCGTGACAGCAGATGCCAGTTGCGAATCGGCTTCACCGGCGGCTGGTTTTGGGCTTTCGGCAACACAGGCTCCGTGTTGGACATGGAGAACCCCCTTCGCACAACTGTCGCCAAAACAAGGACTCCACATCCGCACTCCTCGTGAGGGAGTACTTGGCATTCATGGCCTTCACAAAGCTGGCAATGTCCTCCACCGCCTGGTCAGCTGGGTTCAACATCAATGGATCCTTGTGCAGAATGGGTGTGTGTCAAAATAGCGGCACACCAAAACGTTGTTCCTTGCAGTTTCCTTTTCAAACCAACCTGACGAAAAGGGTGCCCTCAAAAAAGGCCGAACCGAAATGGGCTGCCTGGTGTCCATTCTCGCACCCAACTACGGGTTGCAGAATGAGGATTCGGGAGATCCCCATGACTGGGCCGATTGGCCTTGGCGAGGCTACAAACATATGAATTGGCTCTTGAAAGAAACCCCCGTCAGGTGCCATGCTAGTGGAAATCCTACGGTGGGAAACACTCATTTGTCTCTGGGTTGTTCGAAATGCAGGGATCCTCAATCTTTAGTCAAAAAACCGTTAGGGAAAGGGAAAGACGACTGCCATCTGGGGTACAAATTGAGGATTGGTTCTGAACAACCCAGATTTCTGCCATCCCTCGCCCTTGGCCAGTTCCGGGGTTTGCGCCTGCCGTGAGGATAGGTACATGAGGGCGTCCGGTCCTGCATGCTTTGCAGCTTTTAATGCGGGACCTGCATGGAGCCGCGGAACCACCTGGTTTAGCATCTCAAACAACTGCTTAAGCAAGTGCTTAAGCATCCTCATTCAGTTTCCCTTTCATGGCCTCCATGCCTGAGTTCAATTTTGCCAGACTCAGAAGCTTCGGGATGAGGGTCGGAGGACGGTGCCCCTTAACAAGTAGCCGGCTCCCTTGGCGTTGCTCCTGCGCCTCCCAGTCATGTTGCTCAAGCATCCTTTCCCGAAAAGCAAGCGAGGCTGTTTTCTGAAAGTGGATTCCCCCAAGCAATTCTGCCACAGACTGTGCTATATATATATATATTGGACAATAGGTATTGCGTGTTGGATAGTCGGTGCATAGAAATGCAAAGTATTAATAATAAGCCGGTAGGCATCTGTCTTTCAAAGCTTTTGTCGGAGCTGCTTGCCGGTTCGCAAAACCTGGAGTTGCCACAAAGGTTGAGTGGCAGCCAGCAGCCAATTTGGCACCTTGCACGGTCAAATGTAGTGACCCGTTTCTGTGGGTGTTCAACAAGAAACTGGCAGGAAGTCAAGCCCAAACCTGTGCGCACGCGCACAGACTGGTGAATTACATGCCTCTTTCACCTGTACAGGACCTTGAGCCTTATACATGATGATTGCTAGGTACATGGCATTGCCCTAGAAAAGATACAACAGGTGCTGCGCTGTCACACCACAGGTTTGCACATCAGGCTTTCAGGTAAAGTACAAGTAGGTGCAAGTTAACATAAAGATATGTTTATGTATATAGCACGTACATATATCTATATACATATACATACATGCATATGGCCACCGCTTGTTGTCATGGAGGGAAAGCATGGCTCCTGCGAGGTCCTGTACTGGGCATGCCGATCTGTTGTGGCCTCAGCTGGCATGCGTGACTGAGACTGGCCAGGACCTTAGCCTTCACTTACTCTGGTTCTGGGCGTTAACAGGGCAATCTGACTTTGCGTGGCGGTTGCACTTAGACAGCCCATCCATGGACCGGGTCAAGCCCCCCATTCAAAACGAACCCCCGCGGATTCCGAATCCCTTGGGTGTCTAGCATCCGTAGTACCGGTGTTCCAGCGCAAACATCAGCGCCTGGCGGGACTTGGTGCGTCCAATCCAAAAAAGCTTCAGCTTAGCTAAGGATCCTGGCACAAGGGTAGGTCCTAGTAGGTCCTGGAAATGGCGGACCAAAGAAAACGAAACCAGTTTTATATTGTGCTTTGAACATCTTTTGGCTCGCAACCCTGGACTCTGAAGTGCTCCGGCCACCCCCCAAGTCTCTCCCACAGAGCAAGCAAGCAAAGGCATGGAGCAAGGCATAGAGCATGGAGCCAAAAACACGGTTCATTGGAACCGTTGCGCTGTTCAAATCGCGAAGTCCGCAAGATTCCAAAGCCCGATCCGACTGGTCCCTCCGAAGATCGACCCCTCCGAACCTTCCGGGGGGAAAAGATCATGAAATAACGGCGGCGCGCAAAAAACAGCGACGACTTGGGCGGCGCGGAGCGCGGAGCGCGGGCGGACAAAAACCGACGCCGGGGAAGGCGCCTTCTTGGCTTTGAGCCCCTCCACAGCGATGCTGCAGTGCACCGAGTTCTGCACCGCCGAGGCGTCCAGCGCCGGGCCTGGCGAGGTTGAAGGGCGAGGGCATGTTTGGTGTGGTCGTGGTCTTGGTCTTGTTTTGATAGTCTTGTTCCAGGTGTTCTTTTATTGGTGCTTATAGGTATTTTGCGGTATGTTAAGGTATTTTAAGGTGTTTAAAGGTGTTTTAAGGTGTTGTGAGGTTTTTGGGTGCCGTTTTCTTGAAGTGGCTCAGATCTCCCCAACAGCGAGAATCTGGATCAGAAGGCCCATCCTAGGTTTGGGTCGGAAGGCGGAACTTGGCAGGTTCCTCGACAGTCCAAGGCAAGCTCCAATGAGATTGCGCGGCTGTTGGGGTGGGGGGAACATTCGAGTGTGTCAGCCTCCTAAAACCCCCCTCCCCCCCGTTTCCCCGTCCCCCCGAAAAAGAACCAGAAGTAAAACCAACCACCTTTCGTTTCCAGGGTCCCCAATCTTGAGAAAGCCGCAAATGGGGTTCAATCCATTTTCGCTGTAAAACAGCACCAAACAGCACCCTCGAAAGCAGGAACCACATCATAAAACTGCTATATGTTTAGTCCTTGTCGACTGGAGGTTGGAGTAATCAAAAAAGCTCCCTGAAGTACTTGGGAGTGGTTCCTGTTTTCGGGAGAACCTCTTCTGGCTTCGAACTCACTTCGGATTACCCATAAGAGATTGCTTTTTGAAATGGCAACCAAAAGGTGTAGATTTGAATCACCCCGGAAGGAACATGGGCGGCAAATTCGTCGCCCGCCTTCTCCTCCCACGCAGAGGAAGATGGGAGCGCCGCTGCCCTTCTGCCAAAAGGTGTCGTTCACGTAGTAGGCCTCGACCATTGAAAGTACTTCCGCTTGCCACATCGCTGGCAACTTGAGAAACCAGCAGAAGCAGGAAATTCTACAGGAAGTTCGCCGACATGTTGGTATTTGGTGGGTATTAGGCTCACTTCCTGTGGAATTCCCTGGAGCTGGTTTCTTGGGCTCATACAGCGGAAGCAGCTGCGTCTCACGCGACACTTCGAGTGGGACTGGATCATTGTATCAATGTCAATGCGGTGCCTGAAACAGAAAAGCGGTCGCTGGCCAAGGAAATCGGAAAGGTGTGTGCAGGACCTGTGGCCGACAAAAAATGTGGTCTGTTGGAAACCCCTTAACATGGAAAATACCAAAAGAAAGATGGTAAAGGCCGACCCGCATAAGCTTTGAATTGGAGACATCCCCCTTGATTCTACACTTGTACACTTGGGAAGTTCCAATGGACCTGAGTGCATAGAGCCTCTCGTTGCGTTCGTGCAAAAGCCGTCCTGCGGACGCCAAGAATCCTTGGACTCCTTAAGATGCCCAACCAAGGAAAACAACATATTGAATCAGTGCTTTGCCTCAGGGATCTTGGAAAGACTCTCTTGAGATCCACACGCGGAAAAAACCAACAAAAAGCCCAAGAAGTGTACCCGGGATTTCCCCCGAAACCCCCGAACCCCCGGAACGCTCCAGGACCCTCCCCAAACCGCAAAAGGAACCACACCTCTAAAACTGAAGCCGAGCAATGGGCCAAAGCTGGGAACCATTTTTGGGGGCAAAGGCCCAGTCCAACCCGCGTGCCTGGGGCCAAGTGACGTTGTTCCCCGGATCAAAGTGGTCCTTCCAAAGGCGAAATGACCAAGTCCGCATCCTCTGACGAGGGAGCCATTGGGGCCAGGGAGGCCCTAAGGCTTCAGGTTCCGGGACATGGGGAAAATGAGCGAGTCAATCGGACTCGTCCGGAAACTGATTGAGTCTCCCCCATCGCCAAATTTGATCGTAGACTATTGGATTTGTTGACCAAATCTCATATGGCCATGGGTCAAAACCCCGCACCCCCAGTGAACATCCCAATCCCCACTAAAATAGACTAAAATGGGTGGTGCACCTATCCCAAAATGGTGCCATTGGTTTTGAACCATGGCCATATGACATCAAAGGTGTTTGGAGGCAAAGCCAAATCTTAAGACCTTCCGGCCAAAACAGTTCGACTTGTTGTTTGCCACTAAAGTGGTCTTCGTACAAATACAAAGTCCGCAAACTGAGGGAGCAAGGTGTGTGTGTGTGTGTGTCTCTGTTGGTCTTTGTCGGCCTCTGTACGTTTGCACTGCTGCCGCACACGCACGGCGGGCCCTTGACCCCTCCATCAGGCATGTGACGTCTACTCTGAACCAGCCAAGCCCTTCAATTGTGTAGGCATCCAGAAACCGCAAGCAAGCCTTGTGGGGGGGGGTGGCAAATTTGAGTGGCCCTTGTTCGTATCTTGTTTGAAGGCGGCACAAGGCAGGGGGTCCAAATGGGGACTCGGCTCTCCTGTTGCTGCTCGTGGTACCGCGCGGGATTGGACCTAGCCAAACGCGAGGCTCAACATGGGGAAACCCTAAAAACGGATAGTTTCCTTTTGGCTCCCCCAGCCATAAGCCAGCCAAGCGCAAGGAACCACCAACATGCAAACATGGAATGGGAGGTTTTGCCCATCTCCCTTCCTCGGCGCATCGTCCAGGATCACGGTGGCACCACCTGCAAGGTTGGCTCAAGGCCCGGAGCTGCAGGCAAGTTCGGCTCAGTCGCTCAGTCAATACCCTCCCAGAGACAGTGGGTGTGTCGTGAAAGCCAACCTCCCAACCTGGTTAGGTTAACATGGAACCCTGCAAGAGAATCTGGGGCAAAAACTCCCACCAACTTCCCGTCCGAGGCAAGCACAGCACCACCCCAGCAGGGCCCACCTGCGCTTGCTGCGATGGAACCGGCTCTGAAACCTGACGCTTTCCGAAGCGCCTCGCTCGCCCTGCCATGGCTATGGGACCAGGACCGCTCTTTCGCTTTGAACGCTGCCAAATGCGAGCAGTTTGCCGTTTGAGACCTGTGCTGTGTCTGCCTCATTCTGACAAACTTGGCCAGTCCATTGCCCATGTCACGCCGCAAGCCAAACGCTCGCAGATCGGAAACGGCAGCTCCTGACTGCACTATGCAGTGGCTGTAATACCGTATGGGTGCCGCCGCAGCCCAGTCACCAGTGCTTGCCCTTTATGCTGCAACTTACCAGCAAAAGCCCACAAGCTACGACAGCGAAAACATGCGCAAACTTGAGCGCTGGGCCATTTTGTGTTCTACATGTTGTCAACGACGGTGTGAGAGAGAGAGGGGAGAGACAGCACTTGGCACACTCAAAAGACGGGGTTGGAGTGGCCCCGAATTGGCTTGTCGTTCCGAATCCTCAGCTGCAGATGCAAAGCGCGCCCGGACACAGACTCGTGTCATGTAATCTTTGGCGAGTTTGCCAGGTTGAGGTTGGCCATGACATTGAGTGGAATGTCAGACCCTTAAGCTTGACGATTTCATCCTCTGATTGTCTAAAATCAATTGGAGGGGGCCACTCCCCAACCTCACAATAGACGCAAACCTCCAAAAGAGCCGATCTCGTGATCCGCGCGCGCTGCGAGCCAAACAACAATTGCTTCGGCTCTCTCGGTCGGGCTCCGAGCTGTGGCGGCGGCGTGCCAGCATGTCAGCGCGGCAGCGTGTCAGCATGCATCATATTCAATGCTGTGTATGCAGCAACACCTGTGCAAAACACAGTTTTCAGTGAGTCAAGTTGTGTGTTCCCCGAAGTCATGTAATGTTTGCTTGCTGCCAGTATGGTTCTGGACGGCTCGGAAGGGGCAGGGGCTTGATTCCCTACAACATCTACAAAATGACCGATGCAACAAAATTGGCCCCAGGAGTTAGGCCGATAGCCTGGAGACATGGAGAAAACCGTTTGTAGAGAGCTCACCATTGGTCAAAATGCAAAGGACCCACATGCAACATGGCCGACGGATGCAAAGGCCACTCTATGCAGGCAAGCCTCGCGACGAAGAATATGCATCTATAGCGATTCACGCTCAAGCCCGCCGTGTTGCCTGCGTATCTGGCAATCTTCTCCTCCTCCTCAACAAGGTCGAAGTACTCGCAAATGTAGGGCCGGACCTCTTCCCAGCTGAGCTCGACTGATACTTCAGTGGGCACCTCAAGCAGGGAAGCAACAGGCTACTTGCGCTTCGAGAGACCGGCATCGAGTCATGCTTCTCTCAGCGGGTGTTCGGCAAAACGGCACATCCTGAATGCAAATCAAGCGCGTCAGCATAATGGTAGAGCAACGGCCCCAAGTTCGTCCAGACGCCGCCCTTGCGAATGATATCCGCGATGGTGCGGATGTAGAGAAACCTTTCGGTGTCGCACGCAGAAAGGCAAGCTGGGCCTGGCTCAAATTGATGACAGCTGATGACACCCCATATATATACTGTATCCCGGTGGAAATTCATCTACGGAGAAACTCCGCGTCTACCTCGGCTTTTGCCCCCCCCAAAGAAACCAATCCACATTCAATGAAGCTTGACATGCACAAGAAGCTTAAAAAGAGATCCCAGGGACGTTTGGGGGGTGGTTTCCCTTCAAACCCAGGAGCATATTGGCAGAGTCACTTGCATGGACCAAAGTCCTACACCGCAAGTGGGCTGCCAGGTGACATGTTCTTGGCAGTGTCCAGGAAGAAGCAGGTGGCCATGCCATCCCACGCCCCCACCTCCGCGAGTCAAGGGATCTCTCTGATTTAGCCTGGCATCCGAAACCCAACTCACCTCCCACAACTTGGGGACATCGCCTCACAGCCTCCCTGTCCACCCATGCCACCCATGCCACCCTTGGGAACCCCTGGAGCACATCATCTCGTGCCGGACCGCCGGTTTCTTGGGCTCCATGCTGAGGGGAGCAAGCTGGGGACTATGACCAAACCAGTCTGCGTTTAACATGGCCAGGCAAGGCTCCAAGTGTTTCAGGAACGGCGAAATTCCCAGATGTTGCCCACATCTGAAAAGAGGCGCCCGGCCCCCCGAAACGGGTCTCCCAATTTTTACCAAACTGTCAGTTGATCATGGAATTCTGAGGATTTCATGAGATCCCGATGCCATCTAGTGCAGAAACCCATCCAGTAAGTTGGATGCAACACCAGCTACGGATCGCGAGGGCTTGGGGTCACAGACCAAAACAATCCAAGGACGATGGCATATGCGCGTGTCTTCCACTACGGAACGGCATCGGTGCACTGCTCTGAGGTCCCCTCTTGCTTCGGTTGCTTCCAACGCTGTCTGTGCCATGCCCATCAAAACAGCTTCTTGTTTTCTGCGCAGATCCGCGCTCACATATTTAAAATTCTTACTTGGGCCCTAGCTGCAACTTTGGCTGTTGCCAGCCCTGGAAAGCCTCTGCTTTGGGCAAGTAGAGCCGCATCACCAAGTAGAACGGGCCAGCGGGGGCAGGCAGCCAATTGGACTCCAAATCCGGCCCCGGTGAGGCTGAAGATATATACAACGTCACCGAGCCATCCTCGGAGGTTTTCATCGAGGGCAGCATCGCGCTGTTCAGCAAGTAGCGCTTCAGTGGGTTGGCAACCAACAGCTGAGTGACACCATCATACATGGTGAGGGACCAAAATGCAGTGGCGATCTCTTGGTCCTTCTTGGTCAACACCATCCTGTAAGCCTTGACACCATTCAGGACCTCTCCATCCAGCTGCTTGTACAAAGGATAGAACGCCTCCTCCCGGGAATTCCCGTAGATGCCCAGCTTCGCGCCTCCCAACCGCTTGATGTATTCGTTCTTCAAAAACTCCCTGGTGCCGAACAAATCCGCACTTGACATCTTTCCTGTTGCAAAGCTCTTCTCAATAAACTCCTCGTACTCTGCCCAACCATCTTTCATGCCCATGTCCAATGCACTTCGCATGTCTTCGGATATGTTTGAAATCTGAAATCCCCCACTGCCGATTCCGATTTTCAGGAAGCGGTCACGAAGTTGGCGTTCACTATCGTGAATTGGCAGGATTGAAAGCAGAAAATCCAAGATCTCAAACATGGACACTGACATGGTCACTGCTTTGTCGGACTTTGGCCACTTGATCGCTTTGGGCTCAGGACCTGCTTTGCCAAGGAAAGCACTCAACGTGCTTGCTTTGTAACCTGCCTGGATTGCTTTCACATTCTCGAGATCCGTTTCACCCTTGAGTTGTGTGCGCACAATGGCCAAAGCAAAGGGTGTCTCACAAGCAATGACTTTGTCCACTTTGGCAGGTTTGCCCTCACCGCTGTAGCCACCCCCTGACCATCCGGGGCCGCTGATCATATAGACACCCCCCTGGTTTCCAGTGCAACGAGTGCCCAGGTAGCCAAAATTGTGGGTGTACATGTCAATGAGCTGAAAGGAGAAGTAGCGGCCGGGGTCAATGACTGGGACTTGGATCACCACGGGCTCGGCACGCAGATCCAGCCATGCAAAAGAATACGGGGTGTCAGAATTGGGGGTTATGATGACCTTGTCCTCTGGTGTGAAGACACGCGCAGTATTGCTGATCACGTTTAAAGGTGCCTTGTAGTCTTTGTTGTCAACGTCCACCGAGTAGGCATATAGTGTATTGTAGTTCTCGCAAATTGGCCATCCATAGATGAACGCCTCTTTGGCGATTGATCGCATCTCGGCATCCGACACTGCACTCATTGTTACAGTGCTCTTAAGGAGTGTTGCGTTCCTGAGCCACTCTGGTGCGGGAATAATACTTCCAAGCATTTCCTGTCCATACCAACCCACCAACATGGAACTTTGAGGGGCTTCGCACAGGTTTCAAATTGGTAGGCAGGAGGGAAACATGGGCCATTCACACATGCAGTAGCTGCTAATCGGAAACACAAGTCGTTCCCCTCATCGGCCTGATGCTTGTAGACCTCCACAAATTCCTGAGCTGGCGAGACTTTGATTTGAAACTTTTTTTCGAACGCAAAAAGGGGCTGTAAGTTGTAACCAGCTCATCAAAAACCACCACCCCTTTTCAGGAACCTTTGCTTCTCTCTGGTGTTTCCACCAGGGCATGGAAAAGCCGGCTTTTTCGTACCTCACCCTCTTTGGTTTCTGTGGTCGTGGTTTGAATTCGGGGCTTCGGGGCCGAAACCTTTCCCAGCGGCCCCCGCTGCCATGGAGAGCTGGGCGTTGGGCCCCAGGGCGTCCATCGGGCACACGTCCGGGATCTTCACGGCGCGCAGGTGGTCCCAGCGGCCTTTCCTCCAGCGATGCACCGGGCTGCCGGGCCAATGGAACGAGAGCTCCGGAGGCGGGAGGCGGGAGGCGGCCGGTTGGATCCATCAATTTTGAGATGGGTGCATGAAAAATGCGGGGAAGGAGCCGCATGGAATGAGCCCGAGGAAAAACATCCAACAGGTGGTGTCCTTTAAGGGGAACCCTGGGCTTATTCCCACATTTCCTACTGAGCACCAGCAAGTCATTCCTTCGCTTGTGTTGTTCAATCACACGCCGTTTAACATCTTGGCTGGAATCAGGAATTGTCTGGGATTGGGGAAGTGACCCCTGCAGAAATTGGGCAAGATACATGGTCGCCTTCTGGGCAAAAGAACGGAGGGCGAAATTAAACAATCAAAGTAAAAGGTGGCCAGTGAAAGGCCGAACAATAGGGCACTTGCGTGCTCCAAACGCTGCAAACGGATTGAGAATTGCGATGCTTCCTTGCTTCTTACAAAGCAGCGTCAAATACAAAGCACCATGACGCCAGTCACCATTGAATCTAGCGTGGAGCTAATTAGCCGGAATGCACGAAATGAATGCCTCAAAACGAGACTTCATCAACAGCAACACTAAACTCTCACACAAATTATCCAGTCCAAGCATTTGACCACAGCAAGTGCCATGACAGCACAACTGAAATGCGTACAGGCCGCCGGTTCGCTAAAGAAAGCCTCAGAATCCGTGATGCTTCCAAAAGCACTGCATACATTTTGAGGGGGTTCTCAAAACTACCTTTCGGGGTGGGTTTCCCTTCCCTTCAAAGGCCAATTGAAATATATAATCTTCAGGATGCTACTTCAATGGCCGCCGCTGCCAGGTGGCACGAAGGGGAAAATGTTGAAGCATTCCGCCTTCTCGCTGCGATTCAGGATCAGGTGAGTGCCCAGCAACATGTGGTAGGAAAACCTGAGCCAGCTTCCTAGCTGAAGATGTGCGACACTTCGATGAAGCATCCGAAATCGCAACAAAAACAAAGGGGAGTGCACATCAGGTATGATCTCGAACACACCTCTTCAAAATCGTAGGGCCTCATCTCCGGAACGCCGAAAAGAATCGCATGGCCTTTGAGAAGCGATTTTGGGGCCAACATGACTCGGGCTTGCGGCTTTGCGAGGCAAGCTCTTTTCCCAAGGCTGAATTGGTGTTGGGTAGCCAATGTCAGCCACCGCATTCCAGTTTCGTCCCTTGCGGCAACCTGCCACTTTCTCTCAGGGCTCACGAGTGTCCATCCCGCCACACGCTTGGTGACACGGACACTGAAGCAATCGGACGAGTCCTGGTGTGCGGGGAAACTTGGTTGTAAAGGGATATCGAAGGAACTGCGGATCCTGAACACAAGGAGGAACATTCGGAAGTGAACATTCTGAAGGGTCTCTCAGGCTCTCTTCTGGCTTCTCTCTGAACCAACCTAAAAAGGTACAACCGGAAATCGGGAATCCCCAGCAAGGAATCTTTGTCGTGCGTTGCATCGCTCGTTTTGCTCCGGATTGGTGGGCTTGTGAGCCAATTTGTATAAGGGCCCCTTCGAGCGAAAGCAAGGGCAATCCAGCTTGTTGCCCTCGAAATGGTGGTTCTCCGTTTAAGTCTGCCCTCTACATCATAACATGTGGAGCTTTACTTGAGACCAACTAAAGGCTGTGGGTAACACAAATGGCCCCCTTCCGAGCTGCTCGTTGCCCTGCGCGGCGTAGCCCAGGCGAACCAGATCAAACGGCAGCCGCGCCAGGCCGCACCCTGGGCACAGCACCGCCGGCGCGCCTCGCGCTCGAACGAGTGGCTGGGGGCTCCGGGAGCTCCCTGGCTGAAGCCTCCTTTACGCAACGGTCAAACTACTCTTCAACCCACCTCCTTTTGGTTTCACTGTTTGCCCAACCCTGCCAAAAGCCCTGAAAAGGCTTCAAGGGCTGCCCCGTTTTGTTTACAAGCTGTGGTGTCCATGGTCCATTCTTTCACATGCTCTTGGCCTGTGATAACAGGGGAACATCATGTGTACCCTGGAGCAGAAGCTCCCGGACTCGGAAGGCAGCCCCACGAATTGAGGATCCCCACTAGAAGAGGGCTAGAAATTTCAGCTCTGCGCGGGGCGCTGTTGCTGTGGAATCGCAAGATCTACCAAGGGGTCCACAAGTGTTCCCGGAGTATCTTCCCGTGAGCTAATGCCCACCTCAGATTGATGCCGACGTGAAGGATACTCTCCCCCCAAACTCTTACTCCTGAGTGCCCATGAAAAGTAGGACCAGACTCAGGGAGCTGTTCTATGGTTCTGCCGCTTCCTGTCATCCTTCTTCACCATGTGTGAGGCACTCAAATCGCATCATAACAATGATCTGCTTCTGCAAGAGAGTTCAAATCTCCCCAAACCCCCAATTCAGGGTTACCTGACATGCGGTGCGACCTTCCCAAACAAAGCGCCCCACCCTCGCCTTGACAGGCCCCCGCCTTCTCAGAGCAGCGTGGAAACTCAAGCCCCTGCTCAAAACACCGAAAAACACCGATTCTCCCGTGGCGTAAAGAAGGAAACAAACCTCCCAAGGTCCGAAAAGTGGACCCAAATGGCTGCCCCTATTGGAAAGCCCTCAGACCTCGCCTTGGGCGCGCTTGGGCGGCAGGTGCTTCAGCAAGGCGGAGATCAGCGGCTGGTAGCTCGCCTGGCGCTCCGGCTGCCCTTCCTTGGCCCAGTCCCGCACGAACTGCCGCAGGGTGGAGCGCACCTGACCGAAAAGAGAAGCGATTTCGCCATGCCGCAAAAAGCGCCGGGGGTCATGGAAGTGGGAAGGCACAAAAGGGAAAGCCATGGCCATGGAGGTGAAGAAGGGCAACCAAAAACCCAAGCAAATCCGAGAAAGCTTTGGGATTGCATATCGTTCAAGTTGCAGGGCGAAACACTCTCGCTCGCCCGCCTTGGAGGAATTCCGGCTCGCCACGCGGTGCCCCTGGGGCACTGTGGCCACCTAGGGGTGCAGGATGGAAGGCTCAAACGAGCCACCGATATTGTGCTAAAAATCACAACGGAAAAAGGATCCCTGGCCCTTCAACCAACCATGGGGTTTTGGGGACATTTGGTGAGACCCGATGTCATTCCCTTTGCGGTGGACAGGAATACTCGGATCAAGCACCCGCCACAAGCCATTGGAGGGGTTTCCTTAAGCTTCAACTAGCTACTCACAGTAACTCATCGAGTTAATAAGCCTTGTTGGGAAACCACTCTGGTTTGCAAGGAGCTGCAGAAACCGGGAAATCAAGCACCGGCAAAACCAACCTCAAACAACGCCACTCAATTCAAACAGTAAGTTGCGACTGAATCTTGCAACCGACTCTTTTCAACAACCCAAAGCTAACAGCCACTTCTCCCCAGCTTGCAAGAGACAAGAAACAGTGGGAGGGGCTCCGAAAGGTTTCATTCCCGAAACCCATGTGAGTCCCCTCTTAAGTGGGCTACTCCTTGGCTCAAAATCAACAGGGGCTACTGCCGAATCCTGTCCATATCTTCCTGAAGTGCCAACATGACGAGCGCAAAAAAAAACACGCGCACACACACACACACAAACACACACAAACACACACAAACAAACACACACAAACACACACACACACACACACACACACACACACACACACACACACACACACACACACACACACACACACACACACACACACACACACACACACACACACACACACACAAACACAAACACAAACACAAACACAAACACAAACACAAACACAAACACAAACACAAACACAAACACACACACACACACCCACACACACACACACACACACACACTCAGACTTGTTGGCCCACACTCGCAGATCGGAAGCTCGGAAGATGGCGTTGCTTGGAGGAAGGAGCATGGGGACCCTCTGACCCTCTGACCCTCTGACCCCCCGCCAAACGGAGCCAAGGCGCCATCTCCCAGGCGCTGGGCCCCAGGTCGGCGCCGCACACCTCCGGGTTGGGCATCAGCCTCTCGGAGGTCGCGGATTGGATCGACAAGGGAAGAGCCAAGAGCCTTTGTCCAGTGTCACCCTTTCTCCACTTGTGTTGAGGGTTCCCCACTGAACGCTCCCCCCAATAGAAAATGGCTCCTTTTTCTCCAGGGTCACTGGTTACAATAGTTCCATTCTCAAAAGACCCCTTTACTTGAGTTGGCAAGGGAGCTGAAAAAGCCCCCCCCCTCAAGAGCGCTGTGATTCTTTGAGCCCTTGCCAAGACGCAAGTCTTTTGCGGTATGGTTGGGAAACGCCAAGAACCTGACAAAGGCATAGAAATAGCAAAGGGCAATCAAGCAAAACCCACAAGCAACCACAGCACACAACCGCTGTGTGCATTGCAGTGTGAGACTTTCTGCAGGTTGGCACAGAAGCTGCTGCCTTCCTAATCCAGAGCTGCCTTCCCAGTGCTACTGGAACCTCCGGGCGTGCCGAAGAAAAGGGTCAAGAGCGGGACGACATCTTGTTGAAGACCCATTTGGCCGTTGCGTGGAGCATGACGGTTGAGAAGCGCAGCCAGATCCAAGCCTTTTGGGGGAGCGACCAAAGCGGAAGAGTGACAACAAAGGAAAGGGCCAGGCAGGTCGCCGCCCCCAAGGCGGGCTGCGGCTCAAGAACCTTGCCACCACTTGCTCCTTACCCCCGCTGCATTGGGGCCAGTGACACGAGTCGGTTCCACGACTGCAGTGCTCCCAATGGATGCCTGGGCCTTCCAAGCAATGCACTTCACATCAACGCCCAGGGAGCTGGTCGCAGGTCAGGCGCTTGGCCCCCCCAGCAAGGACTGAGGGTATCACTCGAGAGATACACTTCCAACGTCTGCCCGGTCCACGCATCGAAGCATGGGAAGTTCACCTCGCCTTCATAAGGATCTGGGGCTCTGAGGCATGAGCTCGTCCGGGAGGGACCTGCCGCGTGTGCAACGCGGAACATCCTTGCGCCTTGGTCGCCGTCTCTTAGGCTCCCTGAGCTCCGTGGATTCGTCAGCGCGCGGGCAGCCGCGCCTCGGGTCGTCGTTGCACATATCCATCTTGAGCTAGGTCTGGACCAGCTCCATTTCGGAGCGCAAGCAGGCGGAAGGGTCGAGGCCATGGCTATGAAAGCACAAAGAAGGAAGTTTGTCCAAACAGGAAATCAAGGATCAGGGAAGAAAAGCCCATTTCGGCTTCTGTTTATGAAAGACCACATCGCTAGCTTTCCGCAAGCTTCAAATAATCACCAAATTCAGAACACACCCCCAGCTGCCTTCTCTTGCGCACTGCACGATCCAGGTCAATCGCCTACTTCATTTTGGGCAATGTGCATCTTAAATACCACACTGTCAACGAGGGTATTGGCCCTCGATCATTTAGCTTGCATCACCAGGTCGCCTTGTGCCGTCCCGGAAGCTGCTCGCTCTTTCCCGCCTTAGGAACTCCAGATTCACCTGCACCCTCTTTTGAATCTCGGTGTACCTCGGCAAATGTCTGAGATGGCCTAATGGCAATGTGGCCCACTCAGCTCCATATCGTGGGCCGATCTTGCAGTGGAACAAACATGTGCACACCACAAACACGAGAGAGCTTCAGCTTTGCCGCAAACCACCCAGTGACGAGCGAATCTCATGCGGTTGACCCAACCATGCCTTTGGTGAGTCCTCCTTGTGGCACAGCCAGGCACAGATTCCAGTTCAATTAAAGACCCCTGAACAGATGCCGCCAACAGACTTCGACACCTTATGATAGAGCCTGAGTGCCCGGCAAATACTTTCTCTCTCCCCATTTCGCCCACCCCAACATGCGGGCTGATTTTTGTGTAAAGAAAACCTATGAAACCTTCGCACCCTCATACCCTGGCATTGACGTGGCAAAGTCACAGGCATGCGGACTTGTTTCGCGTGTTTCAAACATCAGGAAAAGGAACTTAAGGAGTTGGTGTGAGAATAGGTAACCAAAGACACGGTGTGATACTGGGCAGTTGGCTGGATTTGGCAGGCATGAGTATCGATTAGGTGTCGACGGAGTATCTGAGTATCGGTTCGGGGTCTGTAGGTTTCCTACTCCGGAACCTCAGTTTGCCAACAATTGCCTCTATAGCTTCACAAAACAGGGTGCGGCTCACAAGAATCAAGACTTTTGTGTCTTCCTTACCTTTGAGGGGTATGCAATGGATTAGGCCTGCAAAAAACAGTCAAGGGACAGCCCCTTACATAATGAAAAGGAGCGCAGATTTTTGACCTCCAGAGCTGGGACCCGTGCCACTGCACGGCAGGCACCTTCCACATGGCCATGTCCTGTGCGTCGAGCTTTTGGATCGTCTCCTGGCCACGTCAGCAGGCTGTAGCTCAAAAATAGGTTAACCCCCAACTGGTAGTTGGGAGGTTGTCAAAAAAAAAGACCCCATTTCCGTGCTGACTTGTTAAAGGGCATTCCGGGAGATTGTACCAAAAAGGATCTCTTCTCTTGTAGCAAAAAGGCAAACAAAATCAGCGGTGCCCTGGGTCCATAATTGCAACCCACCCGGCAATTCCGGCCGAATCCGGAAAAAGCGGCCTGCATTCGCTCGAGGTCATAGAAAGCATCGCTCCCATACTCCAGGAAGGAATAGCCTGGTGGCATTGCTCATTTCTTTACACGGACGTAAAACTACAATTAGGGACCCTTTGGTGACCCATCAGCCATCTTGGAGGGCCCACTGAAATTCTTTATTAAAAAAAAAAAGAAGAAGCAAAAAAAAGCATCCGGTGCAGGCAGGCAAGAAGCGTCAGGACAACCACAGTGTCAAACATTCGAGGGCATGCATCTTCTAACAAAGAGATCCCTTTTTAACCATAATTTGTTTCGCAAACCCATTTTACCAAAGGGACGTTCAGGTGCAAGCTTGTATTCTCCAGAAAGATCTTCAAGCCATAAGGTCCCAGCCACAAACCTCCAGGAAGTGGGCCTTCTCTTCCGCATCCGGGCCAGTCCCCATATCCAAATGATCTTCGCTGTCCGTTTCCTCGTCACAGTCCCCCGCGTAACCTCAGAAGAAAAAAAAGGGAGAAAAAGAAAGGAGAAAAAAAAAAGAAGAAAAAAAAGCCGCCAGCGAGTCCCCGACGCATCCTCGGTCTGAATGCTTGCGGCCAAGACACCGCCCGACATGGCACCGCGGAGGAATGCTGAAACAAAAGTAATCTGGGATTCCGCAAATTCCAAAGTAGATGGCTGGCATGTTGAGCTGAAGCAAACACGTGGTATTTCGGGGCAGTGTGAGTGTGATATTCAAGGCCGTGCCCATTCAGCCAAAGGCTTGTGGGTAGGCGACTGAGTTTGTCATCCAATCCACAGACGCCAAAAAAAAAGTCTTCACAAGCCGTATGCCCTGTTCTGGCACCTTTTGCGCTTTGCACAACGCATCTGCGACGTGGAAGCGGCGGATTCCTACGATGTGGTGCAAGGCCCACAAACAGTTTCAAACCCTACACAAACCAGTGTCGCACCTGTTCGTAGGGCCTCACCACAGCTGTGAGCTATAGTCGCTATAGTCTAGTGGTGCAAGCTTCAAACATAGCGCTAGTTGCACTGTGCACAGCCGCGCCAAGGCCAGTGCCGTCATCAGACAAAATAAATGCCCTTATCCCATGAATAGAATAACATGTTCAGCCTGGGCTTCAGCATAACGGCTCATCGAATTCTCCGTCAAACATACAAATGCCCTCTGCACTTGTCTTAAATTTAAAATCTCGCTGTTGCGCGCGAAGACAAAGGCTCTGGCGTATGCTACGTATGCTACGTATGCTACGTATGCTACGTATGCTACGCATGCTACACGTGTCGCCAGAAACATCATCTTTCCGGACACAAGGCTCGCTCGCCATATGCCGAGCCGTGCCCCAATGCGCAAGCGAGGCGATGAAAAACTTGGCACGCGGAACAGTTCTCAATTCCTGAGTGGATGGGCACAGAAAACTCCAAGATGTGTGTTTTGCCACTAAAATGGTCCTCCCCAAGGCAGAACGTCCGGGAACTCGGGAAATGAGGATTTAAAAGTCTTCGCGGAGCTGGTTGCCTCGCATGCGTGCAGAACGAGCGCGACTTCAGGCCCAACTCGCTCGACAACTGGGCGCAAAGACCGTTGCTATCGCGGCAACCCTGTGTTCCAACAAGCATGGAAGTGGACCAAGGGCTGTTTCCACTGCTGTTCTGCACAATTGTTGTTGCAAAACGGCGCTTTCCGTTTTGGGGAAAGAGAATGTCCAAATGTGTTTCCTTCAGAACGATGAGATCCAAAGCCCTCCACGACTGTTGGCAAAGGGTCATCTCGCAGTCGGATCTTTAGCGCGCCGAGCCCCCCAAGAAAGCCGGAACTTTCACAAGCCGAGACTTCCAGGGCGGCTCCCGCCAAAACCTGGGACCTGGGAAAGCAGGTGATCCCCTGAGTCCCCAAAGAATAGAAGCGTCAGCGAGATCAGCGCCTCAAGCCTGGATTCTGCTTCGCACCTTGCCATCCCGTTGCAGACTCTTCGGACTTCGACCTGGGACCACCTGGGACTACCTGCCAGTTCCCTGGGACGCCTTTCAAAGATTTCGGAAACGCCGGCAGGCTCATGTCTCATCCAAGTCACAGGTTCAGAGCAGAACCTGGCCAGCTGTGTGCGCGGCAAGGCCGTTTGCTTAGCAAGGCCTTTTCCAACACAAATATTGCCTTGTCTTCACAAAAACGGGGCGCCGGAACATGCTTACCAGCCTTCGGCATTCTTCATAAGAAGATATCAAAAGTGGAAACATGGAGTAGGGCAAATGCAAGCAGCTACCTAAAACCTGGTCTGGTGCTTGCCATCGTGTATTTGCGTGGCACGACACCTTTCCAGACCTTGAAATCTGCACGAGAGATTCAGAAAGCCCCACCAAACCCGGCACACTCCCGTGATTCCCAAGGAGTATCCCCAGACGCCGGAACTTCCCGGAACCTGCCCGGACCCTCCAAAGGGCTGCCCCAAAACCCAGGATTGGCCAAGACCCATATCTGTCGGAACAGAAGCAGAGGAAGAGAGGGAGACAAATAAATATACACATATATAGCCGGACTTGTTGTGGTCTCCACGGCGTGAGCAGTACTGGTATGGCCCTACTCCATATCATATATATATATATATATATACATACATGTATATATACACATATACACGTCCCGCCCGAATCATCCCGCCTGGCAAAAGCCCTCGCCAATTCCATCCACGCGGAAGTTCTTGATGCGCATCGGGAACACGTCCTTGGGCACCTCGAAACCCAAGAAAAGACGAAACCTGGCAATAGAAAGCTCCGCTTACAGGGTCCCCCTTAACTTGGACTCCTCAAATCGCGGAAAAAAGGGATGAGGTGTCGAGAAGTAGCGAAGGTCTGCTTGAATGGCTTTTGCCCAAACCCATGCCCAAGGCACAAGGCGGTCAAGATTGCAGCGAATGTGGCCGTTTTGCACGTGGACCTGGAGGAAAAACGATCAGCGCCGCTCATCAAGCGGGGGGTGGGAAAGAACCAAAGAATGCTCCCAATATACAAGTACAGAAGCTAAGATGCAAACCCTCCCCCCAAACACCCCTCAAGGTTTGATGGGATGTACAAAAGAGTCACTTTATCAGGGTATATCCCCCAATCTCTCCCAAGGTTAGTGCTGTTTCCGGGGGTAGAAAGGCTCAAACTTCTTGAATGCGACCAGCGCCCAATGAGTGCCCTGCCCCATCAGTGCCCGCCTTGCAGGGCTGGCTCCATGGCGCAGGCTTCTCACTACCCATCAGCTTCTGCATCAAAGGCAGCAGATTCGTGGCCGCCGCCGGCGCAGCGCCGCTCGCATCGCGAGACAGGCCAATGGGATCCCAAACCAACTCTTGCTTCCCACTTCCAAGCTCCAGCTTCCGCTCAGAGCGCAGCTCCTTGTCACCGTGGGCATACTTGCAGCGGTCCCCATTCTTGCAGCTGCGCTTCCGCATGAACTCGTGGCACAGACTGGTGTGTGTCAAATTTGGCCTCTGCCGCATCTGCGACGTGCTGTGCGCAAACTTGCACTTCTCACCGCGAAGGCATTTGCCCTCCGCGAAGAAGGAGCACATGGAAGTGTACTCCAAGCTGAGGCCTGTCGGAGCCTTCGACTTGGTCGCTTTCTTCGCCATGCCGCACTTAACAGCCGATAGCTGAGCGTGCCAGAAGCAACCAACTTACAAGAGCTTGGTCCAAAACGGCGGGAATCGGGTCATGCCAGCCTGTTCCGTCAGGGAGTAAATGCGTGTGCGTAACAAGTGTGTGTGTGTGTGTGTGCATCGGTGCGTGGCATGTGTGATTGCAGGTGGGTGCGTGCCTGCGTGACTGCGTGTATGCCTTGTGACTTGCCACCACGACTGTCAGCCAAACAACCGTGAAGCGGTCCCTCCGCCTGTCGATCAATTGAATCAGCTTCAGGTTGGCATTCCGCGTTGAGCATGAACAGCTTTTTGTGCACACATCCGTCAAAGCAAGTTGCGCCCCACTCGCGTCTTCACCATACACATCCCGACCTCAGCTTGTCAAATCTGAGCCCGAGTCGGCTCGCCATGTGCACTTCGCGCTCTTTTGTGGGCTTGGATCTATTGCTCTCTCAATGCTAGTCCGTAGTGGCTGCTTAGCAAAAAAGGCGACTTTAGGCTTCCCAATGTTCCCTGCGGATCAACCTTTGAGAGTGAATCCTATTGAGGAAAAACCCCATGCACCATTGTCTCAAATCCGGGCTCGACATTAGCCGGATCCTCCTGGTGCAGGCTGACTTGAGGCTCTCTGCCAGGCCGCGGTGTCCACCAAGTACCGCATGGGCAAGGCTTCTGTGTCGAAGCTGAGATTCGCATGCCTGAAGCAACTGAGACTCTCATAGATTGGCCTCGAAAAAGTGAAAAAGAGAACGTTGTCGGTACAAGTAAATTTGGCTCAGGTCCCGTGCGCTTTCTTGGTCCCTCCGGTTTGTATACCAAACTTGCCTACTATTGCATTTCTACCATATGGTTTGTTGAGAACCGAGAGCAAGCAAGCAAGCAAGCAAGCAAGCAAGCAAGCAAGCAAGCAAGCAAGCAAGCAAGCAAGCAAGCAAGCAAGCAAGCAAGCAAGCAAGCAAGCAAGCAAGCAAGCCCAGCTCAGCTTGGTGCGCAGGGTGACATTGACATATGCAATCCTTGCCAACCTGCCAAGTCACCAAAGAAAGTACGGCACCAGGAATTGGTCCTCGACTGGTGTCTCCCCTCTCCCTTCCAAAGATGAAAAGCCGCGCCAGCCATTGAGAGTCATTTGATTTGGGATCCCTCAACTCAGGACAAAGAGGCATGGTGGGCAGGAACAACCCCACCTCCGCTAAAAACATGGCAAAAGAAAGAAAGCCGCAAAAATCGCTGGCAATGATCAGCCACATCAAAACCCAGAAGAAGAAAAACATGCCTCGCACTTGCCCCGCTGGGTGCGGCACCCGCTGGATCTGGTGGCACTTCTCGTAGGTGCGGCCAAAGGCCTGTGACACATCCTTGGACCTGGCTGCTTTCGTGAGTCTCACCGCTGCAAAGCGGAAAAGGGGGGCTCCTTCAATGTCGCACTAAGAAACCAGGCGCCTCCTCACTATCCGTGCTTCTTTTTCAGCAAACGCGAAAACGCATCCGCAGCCTTGAATGGCGCAGGTTCCGCAAGATGATCCGCGTCTCGTAGTAGTAGGGCGGGGCATACTTCCTTGGAATGAAGCTTCCGGTTGCTTGCAAGGAGGCGAGCAAGCACACCAGCATAATGCAAGTGCTCTCCCATGCTCAAATGCACGCAGCCCAGCGGCCTTGTACCTGCAACGCTACCCTCGTGCTCTTTTGTCAGCTTGCTCTCCCTTGGGGCAAGACGGCATTGCAACGAATGTGTCTCAGTCAGGCCCAAGCAACAAAGCCCATACACCTCATTTCCAACCCTGCGACCTTCAAGCAGCCTCAGTTCATCTCAATCCCTCCAACGGCGTCCCATTGTAGTGAGACACTCGCAAGAATAATCTAAATGGGGGTTTACAGGGAATAACCCCCCAAAAAAAAAGAAGAAACTTTGAGCACCCTTCAAATATACAGGGGTCCCAATCCAACAAGGACGCTGGATGATGGCGAAAAGGCGAGAGCTGCTTCCCATCGTGTCCGAGCCGCCACGCCACAATGTTCTCCTTGGAATCCTTGAAAGGTTGGGCGATTAAAACCCGTTGACAACCACGAGTTGCTTAAACCACCTCCTTTGAGCTGGCATCGGCTGGATACTCGCCACAATGCACGCTTACCATTCGGCCGGCACGTGTGAAGTGTGCACTCGAGCGGGTGCTCTTGCCATTTGTTAGGCATGCTGTGCTTGCAGCTCTGAGCAGGTGACTTGCGCGGGTGCACTTACCATCTGGCAGGCGTGTGCGCACAGTACTGAGCGGGTGCCTTTGAGCGTGCGCGCTTACCATGTTGCAGGCGTGTGCGCTATACTGAGTGGGTGAGTTTGAGGGGACGTGCTTACCATTTGGAAGGCGTGTGCGCAGCGCTGAGCGGATGCGCTTGAGCGGGCACCTCCCATTTGGCAGGCGTTTGCTCGCAGTGCCGAGGGGGTGCCCTCGAGCGGTGCTGAGCGGGTGCAGCTGAGCGGGTGTGCTTACCATTTAGCAGGCGTGGGTAAAGTGCTGAGTGGGTTTGCTGGCGAGTAACCACCCCAATACCTTTAACTTGTGCTTCAAGGGGCCAGAGGGCTGGTTGGCGAATCCAAACAGAAGAACCGAAATTGACATTGTAGCTGCCCTTTCAAGGAGACCAACCTGATAATTGTCCTGAACAAGATCCAGGGCCATGTTGTTTGTAAAGTTTACCGTTTACCCCTTAAAGGGACCACAAAATGCACCAGTTTGTTCACATGTTTTTCGCCAGGCTCTCCTCAATGTACGTCTGCCGGGAGTGCAGCATGGAGTGGAGCTCTCGGCTGAAGCACTGGAACCCGTCGTCGCTGCAGTCCTCGCCGCTCGGCCGACGCAGCGGCAAGAGAGCCATTGCTTTAGGTTCCATGACGGCCAAATTTGACGCCTCGTCTTTGGCTGGGGGTGGATACCAGTTTAAGGACTAATACTCCCAAGAGGATACAAATGAGTGTTTTTGGGGTTCTATGTTAATCTGCAGAGAGCTGGGCTGAGAGTCCGCTTTGATATTCTGTGCCTGTATCAAAAGAAGTATACCGTACCCCACGCTCACGCAAGAAATCTACCGTCATAGCAAATTAGACCCTGGGACGTGGAAAAATCCGGACTCCGTCCTCATGATAGCTCCAGTCCAGGAGCATCAAAGGCTTTGACTCGTACTTGTCCAGAAAGGGCCCCAGGGTGTGGAGGTCGAGGACCACGTTGCCGTCAAACTCCGCCAGCCACTCCCAGTCCCCGTTCCTCAGATTTCAGGGTTCCGTCCAGGAACCAAAAAAAAGAGAGCTTTCTGGGCCAGTGGTCTCCTAGGACAGCTCCTTTGAGCATCAAAGGGAAGCACATATAGGGACCCTTGTGTTGGCACGCCCCCCCATATGGAAACCCAATGAGCAAGCCCCCCAGCAGTCTGCCTTGCCCAACCACTGACCTGAAAAAACCCGCAGACTCACTTCCATTCACGGGCCGCTTTTGGGAATTAATCTCAAAGCGTCGCGGGGTGAAGGGGGTGCAGTAGGAGACCAGTAACGGGGCCCCAAACGCTGGTTGATTGGGCTCGCAAGCGACCACCAAAAACGCCACATCGAAAACAACTAACCTGCCTGGGACAAAAAAAACACTGACTGCTTTTAAGGAAACCCACAACGCGAAGCCCGGGCGATTTCGCCCGGTTCCCCCACCGGGCGTCAGCAGCCAGGAGGGCGGGGTGAACTTGAGCAGCTTCGAGGTGAGCCGGGCCCCAGTCACAAACTCGCTGCCCGCCTGCAGAGTCACTGGCTTCACCTGGCGATTCCACATAAATGCACCCACCCACCCACCCGGCTCCATTTCTGGTGCCAAGTTGCAGCTCGGAAAATTACTTTCGGGCGTTTGGTTTCCTGAAAGCGATCTGGTGGGAAACCACCATTTGGAGGGCAATCGTCAGGATGTCCTTGTAATGGATGCCGCATTTGCAAGTATTGAACAGACAACTGGAAGAAGATTAGAGATGTTTGTTTTTGCCCAAGCAAAAATAATAATAATAAATAAATAAATAAATAAATAAATAAATAAATAAAATGCTGGAAAATGGAGCAAGACTAGGAGAGTAATGTCCCTTTCCAAAATGGGCTGGGTTGCGATAAAAAAGACAGGCCACGCCTGGTTTTGGGATCTGCCTTTTTAGGAGGGATCGGCATGCATGTTGCCAAGTATGTCATGTTGTGACCAAGAATGCATCAACTCCGAGCTGCTATGTTCATAGCGGGATGCCTCGTTTGAAACGGAACACCCCCTATTCATCTACTAGGTTGATTCATCCTGAGTCGGCCCACCTTGGATAGGATCCCTCGTTTTCAGAGGCCATTATGTGTCTTACCTTTTGAGTTGAATCATGCAGGCCTTGAATTCTCGAAGCAATGAAAAAACAAAATGGAAACTCAGAATCTAGGTTACCCACCACAGGCCTGCCAGCCCTGCTTCCGCCAAAGGTTCAGGGCGCTGTCGTCCGAGCGCTCCTTCGTGTCGTCGTCCAGGAACACAAAAGCCTTGGTCTCACACGCCTAAACGCCTTGAATCTGCGTGTTTGCGTCTGTTTCGCTTTGCTTTTTGCTTGCTGGTTTGTGGGAAATTGGTGTTCAAGCCGGCATCTGGTGGTGACTGAAAAAGCCATGACCAAGCAACATGTGTTCTTCAAAAAAGACCTGAATGCTGAATCAGACAAACTTTACAGCTCATCAAAGGCAACACTAGATAGTGCCGCGGGGCATCGATGTTGTTTGGAACACATGGCACATTATCTTCTCGCATTCCGCCCTCGTAAGATCCGATGTTGTAGGTGTAGACCTAGGTCAAACAAGCCGCAAGCCCACAGCTTCGGAGGATGCACAAAATGGCCGAGATCCAACAGCAGCAGCTCGAAACAACGCCCAAAACACGTTGAGCAATTCCACACCAATTCCACAAGAAGTTGATGTCCGTAACCCTTTCCTTTTGCATACTTGCATGCCCCCGGTGATCTTTCCTCTGCAGGAACAGAACAAAACAAAACGGATATCCTGGCCAAGGTGGCAGCGATGCGCTTCCTGGCAAAGTCCCCCAGATGTTTGGTGCGCTGGGCATCGCAGGAATACTCCTGGTCGCAGTGAGGGATCTCTTTGACCTGGTCCATCTTGAGTTGCACTCGCGGCGAGGGCTTGCGGTGCGCACGGTGGTGCCGGTGATGGTGGGGGTGAGATTCCAGCTTGCCATCATACCTAGGGTCCAAGTGGTGAGTGAAACAAGAACAAGGAATGGAAAGTGAGGTTGGAAGAAACACATCGCCAAGAAAAAAGAAGAGGAAACTGCAATTTGAGCCTGGAAGCCCCACAGACACGTCAGACCGTCGGATCAAGCTTGAATCATTTGCAGCTGCACAGGTACACCATACCACCTTAGGCCACCGGTGCATTACTTCCCAGCTTCGATTGGCCACTTGTCACGATCTCAACTTCGTCGTCGAATATCAAAGAAATCAACAACAATCAAATGCTTAGCTCATATAATCGCTCAAAAAACACTTTGCTCTGATTTTCATTCACCGTTTTTTGTGGACATTGATTAAGAGATTTCTGGGCCACTCCATTCTTGAAGGTCCTATTAGACTTCGAAGCCAAATGCCGAGGACGGGGCCACCACCAGCGAAACCTTGTTTGAGATCGACCTGTAGGACAGCTTAGCGACACGGTCGCAACTCAAATGCTGAGACCAGGACAAGCCCATCCAGCACCTTGGCGAGGCCGCAAATACGCTTGGCGACAAGTAACTGTTGCTTGGAGCAAAGAAAGTGAAAAACAGACCTGAGTTCATCAACCTGCACCATCCAGAAACATCCACCGATTACATAAATAGTGTCATCCAGTTTTCCACCATCCATCCGCCATAAGCCCACCGTTTCAAACGGCACAAGTATCAATCAGTTTGCTCACGCACCTATGTCAGCTACACTTCAGCACAAGGCGCTCTTCAAGTGCTTCTGGTCGAGCCGGCAGGCCTGATAAAATATGAAACCATGTTGCTGAGCCGGAAGCGCGCGGTCAAAACTGCATGTTTTGATGTCACCAAACGTGCGCACCTTCAGCTGGTGAGTTTCCGTGTGGAGCGACATGCGCGCCAAATGTACTTTGGCGTCGGCCAAGGGCTGAAATTGATGCATTGACCAACCAGGCGAATTCGTATCTTAGGGTAATGTAATGTATGTTTAGCAAAATTTACATTTGTTTGCCTAAAATTCAGTCAGCCGAACAAACTTTGAGTATGCCACCATGCACTTCACATCACGCCCATCAATTCTTATTCAATTTGGACCTTGGGACCTTGGTGGCATGTCCAATGCCAAACCTGAAACCAGCCGCTTCACTTGCCAGCTTGGTGTGGTCGGTCCATGGGCTGACACCTCAATCTGGGATTCATTGCGATAGAATTCACGGAAATGCATGCAATCTTATTCTGTACGGATTATTGTTGCAATTGTCTTGCCAAAGGCACATGCGTTGCTTTGTTATTCACTAAAAAATTAAACGGACGTCAGAAGGAACTGCCATAGTACAGCACAAATTGAAGCTAGCTCCCTGACAGAAGCCAACAGAAGAAGCGCGAGCGCGCAAAATGCGAGCGCGCATGGCGAGGGAATAGAAATGTTAGACCTAAGCATGCAACCATCTGCGGGACTCGCGTCTTTGGGGCAGTCGAAACTTAGCGCTTTGTCTGAGTAAGCTCGGAGCATTTGCGTGGGAGCCAGGCCCATTTGCGTGCACTCTTCGCAACATTAGTTTGTTTTCCGTGGCAGGCGCATCTTTCGCAAGCTCGGACACAAATTGTGCGGCAGCTGCAGCACTTTCGCACTGTCGGGTACAAACTTCCTGGCAACCACGGTTTTTTCGCGTGCGCAAACTTCGTGGCCGGCAGATTTCATGGCACGCGCGCACTTGGTCAAGGTCCGGTACAAATTTTGTGGCAGGCGCAAGGTCAAGCACAGATTGTGCAACAGGCGCAACGTTCTTACAGGATAGATCAATAGATAGAGACTAGAAGATGGGTGGCCCGAAGGCATTGGCGGTGTGCAGCGGCAAGTTCTCCTAGCAAGTTCTGTGCGCACAGCGCTGACCACAACGCAGCAGCCTTTCGACGTGAGCACAACTGTCGATCCAGATCTGCTAAAGAGTTCTTCGCGTACTGCTTTCGTAGTTAAAAAATTGAGATAATCCAGCCAAAACCTTCTGAAAGCGGACTTCGCGCAATACTTTTGCAATTACAAGTTGCGATCTTCCAGCCGGAGGCTTCTGTAAGTGCACTTCGCGTACTATGTTCGTTGTTCAACGTGCGATTTTCCTGCCGGACCGGCGTAAGATTGTTTCCCGTACTACTTTCGTACTTAAAAGTTGCGACTTCCCACCAGACATTCGTATCTAAAAATTGCAACGTTCCACCCCGAGCTGCACTTCGCGAACTGGATATCTTTTGCCTTGTCCCAGACCGTCGACCTTCAACCCCGCAGGCACCATCGAGTGGCAGCGTCATTCATTCATTCATTCATTCATTCATTCATTCATTCATTCATTCATTCATTCAATCATTCAATCAATTCATTCCATTTCAGTCCATTTCATTTCATTTCATTTCATTTCATTTCATTTCATTTCATTTCATTTCATTTCACATCATGTCATTTCATTCCATTTCATTTCTTTTCATTCCATTTCATTTCATTTCATTTCATTCCATTTCATTTCATTTCATTCCATTTCATTTCATTTCATTCCATTTCATTTCATTCACATCATGTCATTTCATTTCATTTCATTTCATTTCATTCAATTTCATTTCATTTCATTCCATTTCATTTCACATCATGTCATTTCATTCCATTTCATTTCATTTCATTCCATTTCATTTCATTTCACCTCATGTCATTTTATTCCATTCCATTTCATTCCATCCGTTCTAGTTCATTTCATTTCATTCCATTTCATTTCATTTCAAGTCACTTCATTCCATTCCATTCCATTTCATTTCATTTCATTTCATTTCATTTCATTTCACCTCATGTCATTTTATTCCATTCCATTTCATTCCATCCGTTCTATTTCATTTCATTTCATTCCATTTCATTTCATATCAAGTCACTTCATTCCATTCCGTTCCATTTCATTTCATTTCATTTCACATCATGTCATTTCATTTCATTTCATCCCATTTCATTCCATTTCATTTCATTTCATTTCACCTCATGTCATTTTATTCCATTCCATTTCATTCCATCCGTTCTATTTCATGTCATTTCATTCCATTTCATTTCATTTCAAGTCACTTCATTCCATTCCATTCCATTTCATGTCATTCCATTTCATTTCATTTCACCTCATGTCATTTCATTCCATTTCATTTCATTCCATTTCATTTCATTTCACCTCATGTCATTTCATTCCATTCCATTTCATTCCATCCGTTCTATTTCATTCCATGTCATTTCATTTCATTCCATTTCATTTCATTTCATTTCATTTCACATCATGTCATTTCATTCCATTTCATTTCATTTCATTTCATATCATTTCATTCCATTTCATTTCATTTCATTCCATTTCATTTCATTTCATTCCATTTCATTCATTTCACATCATGTCATTTCATTCCATTTCATTTCATTTCATTCCATTTCATTTCATTTCATTCCATTTCATTTCACATCATGTCCTTTCATTCCATTTCATTTCATTTCATTCCATTTCATTTCATTTCACCTCATGTCATTTTATTCCATTCCATTTCATTCCATCGGTTCTATTTCATTTCATTTCATTCCATTTCATTTCATTTCAAGTCACTTCATTCCATTCCATTCCATGTCATTTCATTTCATTTCATTTCATTTCACCTCATGTCATTTTATTCCATTCCATTTCATTCCATCCGTTCTATTTCATTTCATTTCATTCCATTTCATTTCATATCAAGTCACTTCATTCCATTCCGTTCCATTTCATTTCATTTCATTTCACATCATGTCATTTCATTTCATTTCATCCCATTTCATTCCGTTTCATTTCATTTCACCTCATGTCATTTTATTCCATTCCATTTCATTCCATCCGTTCTATTTCATGTCATTTCATTCCATTTCATTTCATTTCAAGTCACTTCATTCCATTCCATTCCATTTCATTTCATTCCATTTCATTTCATTCCATTCCATTGGCACGACAACAACAACAACAACAACAACAACACCCACAAATAAATAAATATAACAATAAATAAGTCAATAAGCAAACAAACAAACAAAATCAAAAAATCTAAACTAAAATGACGTAAAAAAAATGAATTGGAATGAATTGTTGTTGTTGTTGTTCATGAATTGAAATGCAATGACACGAGGTGAAATGAAATGCATTGGAATGAAATGAGAATGAAATGGAACGGACTGGAATGAAACGAAATGAGATGAAATACAATGGAATGGAATGGAATGGAATGAAATGAGATGAGGTGACATGAAATGAAGTGAAATGAAATGAAATGGAACGGACTGAAATGGAATGGAATGAAATGAAATGGAAAGGAATGGAATAAAATGACACGAGGTGAATGAAATGGAATGGAATGGAATGGAATGGAATGGAATGGAATGGAATGGAATGGAATGGAATGAAATGAAATGAAAATGAAATGAAATGAAATGAAATGAAATGAAATGAAATGAAATGAAATGAAATGAAATGAAATGAAATGAAATGAAATGAAATGAAATGAAATGAAATGAAATGAAATGAAATGAAATGAAATGAAATGAAATGAAATGCAATGAAATGAAATGAAATGAAATGAAATGAAATGAAATGAAAGGAAATGAAATGAAAGGAAAGCCGGCTCGGACAGCGACTTTGAGGTCGACCTGGGAGAGTCGCTGCACCTGCAGAGCGACGCCCGGCTCGCCGTCTACAAAATCCGCCTGGCCGACAGTTTCCTGTCCACGGACCGGGGCCGCTACCTCTACTGGGTTGACGCCGCGCTGGGCACGCTGAACTGGGCGCTCCTGCCAGAGGGCGCGTACACGGGCGCCCGGCTGGCCGCCTGGGTCAGCTCCAACTTTGCCACCGCCACCTATAGCGAGACCATGGACATCATCTTGCTTTTACACTAGCACGCTTGCGCCTGTGGTCAACCGGTCATAAGCGGACTGCCTCTCCAGCAGGGCGCGCTGCTGCTCTCTTGTGAGCTGAGGTGCCTCAACCCGTGCCTCAACCGGCGGTGCCTCCGCCCGTGCCTCCGCCGGTGCCTCCGCCGGTGCCTCGACCGGCGCCTCAACCAAAAGCGGCTTTGGCTTGCGCTTCGGGGCAGCCGGCTCAGTAGGCACGTCCTGCTTCGGTTTGTTTTTGCTCCCAGGGGGCCTCCCCCGTCGTTTCGTCGTTTCGGCTCCGGCGGCGCAGCGTCCGGCGCAGCGTGTGGTGCCTCCTGCGCAGCGTGCGCCTCTGGCGCCTCTTGTTCGGTCGGCTCCATCCTTTTTAATTCCCGAAAGCATGGCGAAGGGTTCTTCCGCTGGGTTCACTTGAATTGTTCTCATGAGAGTCATTACAAGGTGTCATTGCAAGGAAATCATCAAGGAGTCATGCAAGGAGTCATTGCAAGGAGTCATTGCAAGGAGTCATTGCAAGGAGTCATTGCAAGGAGTCATTGCAAGGAGTCATTGCAAGGAGTCATTGCAAGGAGTCATTGCAAGGAGTCATGGCAAGGATTGCAACTTGCACTTGACTCCTTGCACTTGCAACTTGCACTTGACTCCTTGCACTTGCAACTTGCACTTGACTCCATGCACTTGCAACTTGCACTTGACTCCATGCACTTGCAACTTGCACTTGACTCCATGCACTTGGCTCCTTGCACTTGGCTCCTTGCACTTGGCTCCTTGCACTTGCAACTTGCACTTAACTCCGTGCACTTGCGACTTGCACTTGACTCCATGCACTTGGCTCCTTGCAACTTGCAAATGACTCCTTGCAATGACTCCTTGCAATGACTCCTTGCA